GCTGCCCCGCTCGGAGCTCCGCCGCAGCCCGGGGAGCCGGGGGGATGCTGCCCCGCTCGGAGCTCCGCCGCATCGGCCCCCGCTCTGCCGGGTCGAGCCGAATCCAGCGCTCCCCATCTGGAGATCCCAGCCGAGGGTCTCATCCCACAGCCAGAGGGTCCCATCCACCCGCGCATCCCACCTGAGGATCCCATCCCCTGGCTCATCCCGCATTCCGGGGTTCCACCCAGTCGGGGATCCCGCCCCAGGCTCACCCCACCACACAGGGSTCCCCCTGATGATCCTATCCTGGCAGAGGGGATCCATGGAGACGCTGATCCCGCCTGGCCCCCAGCACTCGCAGCAGCTCCAGGTTTATTTAAAGCTATTGCGAGTGACAGACTGCCAGACTAGTTCCCCTAGAGAGTAACCCGCGAGCACAGCTCGGGGCAGCATCCCCTCAGGGCTGAGCCCTGCCATCGGTGCTGCTCCTTCTCCTCCTCGCTGTGCCCTTTCCCCACCCTGAAATCCAGCAGCGGCGCTGGCTGCTCCCTGTTTGTGCTGCAGGGAAACCTCAGGGCAGGACAGGGGCRGCTTTGTGCCAGCGAGGCCACGGGGGTGCGGTGTGAGTTAGAGCAAGGGGGACWGAGAGCAAATAATCTGATGGGAAATGATCTGGGAGGCTCAGTCACGAGGTCATTGTTGAGATAATTCCTTGCTTGCTATTAGCAAATCTTCAGATTATCCATTTGCCCCCTTTTCGTGGTTCAGGTTGTTCTTTCCTTTCGAATTTGGCTCAAAATGACCTTGGAAAACAAGCTGGTCACTCCAAGCCCAGATCCTCGCTCAGTGTGAGTGTCAAGCACTGAGGAATCAGGGCCTAATGAGCAAAAGCCTTCATGGACTAATCCAAACTGCAATGATAAATAAGGAGCATAACACAAAAATGACTGAAACTTCCCCAAATCCTGCAGTGTGTTTGCTGCCTGCTTTTAACCCCGAGGAGGTCCCTCTGCTCCAGCGTTGTGTCCTGACCTCTGCGTGGGCTGTGCTGACATTGCCCACGGCACTGCTGCGGTGACAGGGACAATGAACGTCACCTCTGCCACCCACAGCTCYCGTCCATGCAGGTTTTACCATCCCACTGAATCACTGGGATGGTTCTCCAGAGGTTCTAATTTTTCATTTTAATCAACAGAGGAAAAGRGACGAGCCTCTGTGATTTGTTTTTATTTTTTACAGTGGGGTTGGTAATTTGGGAAACAGCAGGGACAGGAAGGTGCATCACTGGATCCATTCTATACTCCCTGCTGCCCCTCCTGCCACAGGTCCCTGTTCCTTGAACCCTGATTTTGGGGGCCAGGAGTGGGGGATGAACCCTCAATGAAGATGGGAAATGACACACTTGGGCCAGGGCTGGGGGTGGCTTGAAACCCACAGATCTCTGCTGTGGGGTTCTGCAAAATTCAGGGGCGGATTGTCCGGTGAACCTAATTAGGAATGAGCAGACCATCCCAAGCTGTAATATGCCAAGTAATTAAGTGATTAGTATTGATTGTTAGAATACCTAATGAGCAGTTATCACTGAATGATTAATTAATCCAATCAAAAGAGTAATAAAAATTCTGCAGGTGTGCAGATGATACCTTATATTCATCGCACGAGGGAAGCGAGATCTCTCTCCRTGGTGCCTATCTCCTGTTTCTATCCCAGCACTTGGCACCAGGGATGCACCCACTCCAGGCTGTGCAAGGGGTCTCTCCCCACCCCAAAAATCCCCTGGCACTGCCAGGCGGGGCTCCCAGCAGCAGGCAAGCACCCAGAGTTGGCTCGAAGGTGGAATAAAATGGTCCCCCAGGCGCTGTCAGCATCCAGGAGAYGCCGGGATCAGTCAATGCTCAGCTCCTCCCTGGCAATTCTTTCACTCACTCCCTTGATTAAGTCGCTTCAGTTTCTCCTGGTCAAAGCCCCGCTAATCCCAGCTAAGCCCGCAGCGTGCCGCACRCTGGCCTCTGATCACTTCCCTGCCAGGCGGTGGCTCTGCGGGCACGTCCCCAAGAGCGCTGTGCCCTCGGGACACGGCAGCTCGCAGGGCAGCCACAGCCCCGCAGCGGTCATTTATTTGCTGGCCCGTGGTATTTACCTTTCTAAATGCTGACGAGGAAATGATTTTCCCAGCTAGAGCTAACAGCGGGGCTGAGCAGCCCTGACTAGTGAGCAGAGACCCCCAGCCACCATCCCCTTGTCCCCTCGAGCACCGTGTGATGCCCATCTTCCTCTGGGTTGGGTGCCAGTGCTGGGTGACAGATGGAGACAGCACAGCACTGTCAGCAGTGCCCAGCAGAGAGGTGCAGGACCCCAAACCAAAATAGGGGCACATGTTCACCTCTGCCACCARCATCAGCCCCATGGTCACAAACCAGAGGGATTTCTGCCCCCGSGGGGGCTGTGATGACACCCAGCAATCCCAGGCAGTTCCACAGCTCCGGAGATGATGGATGCAGGCTTTAATGCTCTTTTCTGTGCATCTTTGAAGGATTTGAGGCTGATCGCCCGCGCTTCCTGCGTGGCATCCACAGCTGGCTCCRCGCAGCCCGTCAGCTGCCTGTGCTGCCTGCCGGGCCCTGCCGGGCTGAGCGCAGCGGTTATAATTAGAAATGCTAATCAGCTCTTGTGTTTCTGGCTTGACAGCCCTGCCACCCCCAGCACAATCTTCCCTCCAATCTGTCCTGTGCTCGCCCCCTCCGCTTCCTCTCCGAATCCCTGCTACTTGTGATTAAGCAATACAAAGTTAAGGGGGGKTGAAAGCTGGAGGTGCTGGGGCTCGTTGGATGATTTGGACCAGGATTGMATCCCCCACAGAGCTCCTGACTTGCTGGGAACTGTTTGGGGGTCTCGCTTTCATTCACCACCATCACCTTGGGCTGGGGACACCKCAGGGATGTCCCTGGCCCTGAACTGTGAGGTGGAAGCTCAAGGGCTCTGCAGGCAGTGCTGGGGTTAAAGGCAAAGGGTGGTGGCTGTGGCTGGGAGCCCTGCGGTGCTGGCTCTGGAAAGGGAGCTTCTCTCATTGGGATTTCCATCATGTGCCAGCCGTGGGCGCTTCCCAGCCAAGGAGGAAAAGGAGCTTGCAAAGGAGCTTGGAGCAGGAGGCTGAGCAAGCAGATCCCTGCACTGGCTTAGCTGGTTATGGAGCTTTTCATCATCAGCCCAGGGGATTCTTCCCTCACCAGCACCCACACACAGCYCCTGCCAGCCCCCAGCCCCTCCACGAGGGCCAGGACACGGCTTTTACCCTGGGCATTTGGCTCCCAAAGTCAGGTTTGGCCAGGCAGACATTCCTTGGAGCAGGCACGGGGCTCAGCAGGCCTCGGAGGAGGCAGAGATGCGCAGGTGGGACGAGCAGCCCTGGACACAGTTTTAAGACAATTTTCACTTCCAGGTGCTCCCTGTTTATCAGCCTCAGTGAGGAGAGAGGCTGCGGTTTGGAGGGATGATGTGTAAAAGGTTTTCAGGAAGACTGTGGTGCCCTGCGCAAAGGAGACATCCCGCCCTCACCTCCTCTGCCCAGGACCCCCCTGCTTCACCTGGGACACATCTGCTCACAGCATGTGAAGCTGCAAAGAGCTCTCCCTGCTCCTCACACACTGAGCACCACAATTTCTGAACAAAGGGAAGTAAGAGAAACGAGGAGGTATCACAAAAAGAGAGCAGGAGGGACAGGGCATGGTGGCTTCAACRATGATGTGCTCATGAAAAGGCACCAGCAGCACAGGCAGCTGACTGGGAAAGCTCTGGGGAGAAGTCGGATTGGATTTGTCATGACTAATTGACTCCCTCCAGCACTGTGGTCCAGCTTTCACGCATGGCATGAGCAGGGTCCCAAGCATCCAGGAATTAATGAGGGTCTGACCCTGTCTGCGCAGCCATTTGAGTTTTGCCAGTGCAGACAGCTGGCTTAAGAGGCCTTTTTATCCTTTACATATCAGATCAATTTGGATAGTTATAATCTAGTCCTGGTGAAAGCTCAGAGCAGACTTCATTGCCCAACCAGCTCAAGGAGAAAAAAAGCAAGCAAGAGGGAGAGGTCATGCTGAACTATCGATTGTGCTGCTCCCAGATTGGCCTTGGCAGAGAGCTCACCCGGGACAGTTTGCCTCGATCTCCTGCTAATGCCACTCCATTGATCTTYGGTGACAGGCGGCAACTACAAGATTTTTTTAGGTCGGAGTCATTAAGAGGCATTAATCAATAACAGAGGAATCAGAGAGAGAGCAACTGTTTGTTTCATGGAGACATATTCCCCRTGTGGATTTTAGCCCGCTGAGGTGTGCGTGGTTTGTTTCCAGGGAGGTCTGCCAGGAAAAGAATTCACCTTGTGCTGGACTCTGGCACTTGGAGGAGATCCTGAGCCAGCTGCAACACACTGGCAGCTCCAGATGGGCTGTTCAGTGAGAGGRGAGAACCTGGGGAGTTTTGGCATCCAGTTCCAGGTACCCCAGCAATTGCCCAGAGCCTCTGTTCCCACGCAGGTAGCCCAGGAAGAGATGGGTGCTGATTTCACATACCCAAAGAGCTGGGTGCTGGTTTCATTTCTTGCTTCTACAAAACAAAGCTGCTGCCTG